ACGACAGAAGACAAGGGTCAGACAACAGATTGTTTGTTGAAAAAATCAAGAGATATTTATAGATTTTTATGTGCATTATTGTCAGCGGAGAAGCAACGTCTTCTGATTGGTTGTTTTCTTGCTGAAGGTTATTCTGCACTGCTTCTGACCGTTTCTTAGAAAGTAAAGCCATATATTGCGAATTGTATTTGCACACGTTAAGGTCTTCTGTGATTGGTTGATGAGTTCCTCCAGGTTAAGCTCCGTTATTATTTTCGTATGACTCCGACTCGGGACGTAAACACTGACGTAAATTACTGTCTATAATTTTGGCTTCCAGACAGCTCTCACAACAGTAGGTCAATTTAGAAACCTGATTTTCTACCAAAATAACCATTCAAATTGCACACTGAGAGCTTGCAATATTGTAGAAGACTGGTTTTGTTTTCAAATCTTTATTTTCGAAAGCGCAAAAGAGGGAAAGTGAAGCGGAAAACCTAAAGTCAGACACACGAAAAGGGCACTCATCGTTCGGGAGATAAAGAAAGCCTTACAAATAGTAGAAAAAGCATAGTTCCCTCATTATGAGTTCCTTAAGTATTTACTACCTCTGAATAGCCATAGCATTCTGCTTTGTAGAAGCCCTTCATCAAAACTATTGCTCACCGGAGTAAACAGACAGTTCCACCCACTCCCTTGTGGTCCCTAACTTGCTTGAACAGAGAGTTACTATGTATGCTGACGTAGTGATGTTCTTGAGTCCTGATAGATTTGTTGTTATTCCTTTCAGTCTACTGCAAACAGAGTTAACGGCAAATCTTCCCGATTCGTTAGTCCGTGAGTTGGAAATTGAGTCTACACTTGTTAAGGTGGATGGTCGCCATGATTCTCATTCTGACCTTCACACCACTACAGTCGCCGACCTCTTCTGTATGGCATTTTTGTGTGATATGACTTAAGATGAACAGCGCACACTATTTCCCAGTGGGTGCGTACTGCCGATGATTCCTAAACTAGGATGAAACAGCAGCTGTCCAGTACTCCCTGGTTTTCAATGGTTCTCTTACTGATATCAATCCGTGATCAACTCGTAAAATATAAAGTTAGAGTTAGGTTCCTGCCCCATCGAATTTTTTTTTGCTAACCCTATCTTTGATTTCAAGGACGGCTGTTGTAGGGGACTTAGACGAGCTCGGTAATGGTACACAATACTAGAATAAAATTCCAAGTTAATGAAATAATATTGTAGCAGCATATAACAAAAATTCAGTTGACAAGTTATAGAGATTAATGGTTATTTGGTGACACAGTTAAAGTTCGCTGCTACAAATTATAATTATAATCCATGGAAACGTTCATTGCTGGGGTCGTGTCTACTAGTAGAATAGTCTCCGAATGATGATGAGAGGTTCCTGCAAAATCCTAAAGATATAATACAGTTACTATTAAGGCAGGTAGACAGTATGGACCTGTGGAAAGACGAAGCGTCCAGCAGCACAGTGTATCTTAAATTTTATCCTGAAGTTATGTGTATTTTACAACGAATCGTTTTTAACAAAAGCTGCGTACAATATTTCGATTTTTAACATCTAACAAAAAACTGTGCAATCATATTGTTCTAGACTCCTCGGTGTTCATAAGAGGTAGATTCAGAAAAAAAAGAGTTAAATGCCACTCTGATTCCCAAAGCGTGCATGAAAATCATTTGCTGCGGTTCGGAAAAAAAGTAGAAGGATAGTTTCTAAAATACTCACCTCCGCTAGTGCCAATTCTAATTAGCTATCCTGGCCTCTTCTATTGTTGTCTTATAGCAATGGTGATGAATAGACAAGTAATAAATTCTTAGATTTGAGAACAATAGAGTAAACACCGACTTTCTTTATTTCTTTCTCGATAATCCATCCCCAGACAGTGAGTGACCTCTAAGATGTGATTTAAATAAATAATAACTTTACTCTCAACAAAATGCTTACACACTGTATATGATTCTCATAGTTTTCTCTTGCACAATAAATACTGTTTGCCCACTATCTTCAAGCAGAAATGTGGATAGCAGTATATCGCAATACGTTGAAATCAAACTTAAAACGTACAGGAGAACTAAGGACATAAATGGATGATGACGACAACAAGGCATACAGAAAACTAGCTGCATTTTGTTTGGTAGGAATTCACTTAGTACACTGCATCGAAAAACCAGCAAACTATCTGTTATATGAAGGATTTCAAGACTGTGTTATTCCCTGTCACCTTAATGCTAATCAAAATCAGATATTGACCTTCACTGGTTAAGTATAAGTTTTAAGACGTCCACACTGAGTTGGGCACATATACCAAGTAGCACAGTACTAAGATTCATCCACAGGACAATCAGTGACTTCATAAGGTGGGTGACTACTGCCTGACAAGCGAAGATTAGCCAAGAACTAATTCGACTGTATGTTAAATTTCCGCACTATTCGACCTTTGAATAGCCCATGATCATCCCCTCTTTACACACTACCAGAAAAAGGTAACAGCGATCACCAACTCTTGAAGGCCGAAACCGTCCCCGACTACTATCCGTAGCTAAATATCGACAACTTACCAGTGGCATTATATGGTGTAATTGTCACTTAAAAATTCGACTCGTTTAAAGCGTACAGCCGAATCGTTCAGGCATCGGAAAACATTCTGAAAACAACCAGCAATACCCATGCCATTAGGATTTCGAAACGCAACAAGCACGTTTAAGTGCTTCATTGATGAAGCACTCTGCGGTTATGACTTATGTCAATGTCCAGGTCTAACTACACTGGACTTCACACTGTCCTTGGAAGACTTTCAGGAACTATGCGTAATAAACAACGCAAAAAAACCAGAACACAAATTGGTGACTCAAGAACCGTTTATTCTCGCACCAATACAGAGCCAACCATTAGGTTATCGTACACAAAGTTTCTAATAGTTTTTCTCTCTCCCAATGAACGATGACTCCCGCGAAAAAATATGGAGTTGGGTTTGAGCAAACAACCATGAATTGATCGTTCAATCTTCAACAACATTGACAACCTATACACGCACTTCATCGCTAATTCAGATAAGGGAACTCACTTCTTTAACAGCATTCACCTAATCTATACATTCCCGATATTATTCTGGAGTCTTATAACTTACACTGAACATCGCGAAAAGGCTTCACAGGTAGGCACCACTAAAACCTTTATACGCTAAAAAAATTTTTTATGAGAGTGACCTCTTCTTAGTCTTCTAAATAATAATAATATATGCAGCTAGATCATACAATTTAGTGGAAAAACGTAGTAAATAACTTGCAAAGTACACTGCTACACTGAACACAATGGCTATGCTTAACCTATAGGAAGCATAACTAATACTAACGTAATAATATAGTTGGATGGCCTAATAGTTCTTAGAAATATAGCATACAGATTAACCTTCGAATACGGAAACTGATGAAAATAGAGTACCCAATGACAAGATAAGAAAATCAGAGATTAAAACAATCAGTTGGGATAGATGTTAAGAAAATTACCATACTGTTTTGTTTACCTTAGATGTACGACTTTCTGCTAACGTAAAATGTCCTGCTAGAATTTAACTTATTAACATCCCACTTATGACCACACTGTATAACTCGTCGATAGATTTGTATCAACACTTTGTAGCATACTACTGCATTTGTGACTGTCCACAGCTCAATTCGCGCTGTATCACTCTTAAAATGAGTCATTACAACTTGGATCATCGAGACAGGAAATCACATCTCTTCAGGAGATATTCTTCTAAATCATTCCTAATTAAACCCTGCATAAAATGAAACTGAAAGTCCCGAGATTTGTATTCATCTCAGAGAATCATCAAAACTATTTGAACAGAGCCATACTCTGAGGAAACCATCAAGCGACATCACTAGGCAAGCCATCGCTCGAGTGGAACCCGAAAGAGAGGCGGCGAGTTGGTCGTCCAAGGGTGACTTGGAGGAGGTCATGAGAGGAGGAGATGAAAGCATGTGGACAGACTTGGAGCGGGGTGAAAAAGTTGGCAGAAAACAGAAGGCAATGGAGGTGCGCAGCTGAAGCCCTATGTTCGTCTAGGAACTAGAGGATACAGTAATAATGTAACAACAGAAGACAAGGGCCAGGCAACAGATCGTTTTATTATGAAAATCAACACCTATTTATACATATTTCACATACATTATTATAGCTTATGCAAGTAGACAAGCGCAGTCATCTGATTGGTTGTTTATCAGAAGTTAGGCAGCCGAACGCAGGCTTCTGATTGGTTGTTTCGGGATTCCTCGACAAATAGAGTTCTCTATCTGCGAATCATATTTTGCCACGTTAACTTTGCTGTGATTGGTTGTTGAATCAGCCTTGCTCATATTTTCTCATGGCCTGCTCTCACCACAATAATAATAATTTGAACAGAGCAAGAAGAAAATACTGAAGAGGATGACGAGGTGACGCAATCATATTTCATCGGTTCGCCTCAGCTGCATGTATCCATAACCAGTTTAATATAAATACACAAGGTATTTAAATACTTAAGTTGTTGATAATAAACTCTTTGTAGTTGTTGGGATGGACAACCAATCCCTGTTAAGCGTGAAGTCATGATTCATGCATACACTGACATTATAACCTGATTGAACAGTTTTTGATTGGTTTATTTTTAGCTTGAATTTTTGAGGATCTGTGGTGTCATACAACCAATCAGATTTGTTTATTTATATATTTATTTATGGTATGAATTCTTAAGGTTTTGTAAACCATATATACTACGTATTTTGAGCGATAAAACATCTAACTTTTGTGCCTATGTCAGTGTGCGGAATATTTTCGAGTAAAACAATTGGTTACAATGTCGTGTCTGGAAGCGTATCCCAGTCAAGCTGGATAACAACCACAATTCAGTAACACTACATCATAACAATGGTTGTAGGTAGTTGAAAAGAACCAACAAAAGCATAACGACATTATATTATCTCGCTCAATATATGTTCTTCTTGCCTTGGTATGAAGTCAAAATTATTCCTCAGAGCAACAAATACTCTTTATCATCTGAGATAGATAATAATAATAATAAAAAAAGGAATACTTCCATGAAACGATGAACAATATTCCAAAAGCAGATATACAAGATATACCACCGACCGCACAAGACACAGTAGTGGATAACGAAACTGAACAAAACTAAGAATATAGCGAAAATATTCATTCAGACATCTATAAAACACAAAATAATCGAGCAAAGAATATTCTTTTCGATAAATTCCTCTTCTGGTCCTACAATTATATATGTTTATATACACAGAATATTTTAGATTAGTAGTCAATAGCAATATTAGTGTATTTTAAATAAGATCGATTTGTAAAGTAAGATCACAATGCAATTACAGTTCATTAAAGATGCTTAAATATTAAAAATAATAATAAAGATATAGTATCAAATAGAATATCAACTAAAATTAGGAAAATTCCACAAAAATTCAGGATTATTCAAACCTGGATGACCAAGGCAATGATAATGTCTGAACTAACTTCTTTTGGGTGCATAAATTAGGCTTGTTAATATGGATCCCAACGGCCATCCTCAGCAATATTTAGTAGTCGAACTCTTAAGGCAAAATTGAAATTCGTAGGTATACGGTAAATGACCCTGAAAGCATGGTTAACGTCAATCTTGTGTTCTGTCTCCGCAAGATGAGACAGAATAACGCTGCGAATAGATATTGTTTGTCCTTTGTTTAACCACGCAGAGAGATGTTCGGAAATTCGACGAGAAACACGCCTAATTATATGGCTTATGGAACTGGCTCCACAGGAGCAGTTAAATTGGTAGATACACATGAAAGAGGCGAAATTAGGCAGTTTGTCTTTTACTCCCGAACGCAAAAGAGGAATGGTTTTGAAGATACAGTGTAATTCGGCAGCAGGGAATGCTCTTTTTACCGCATTTTTAAGGCGTTGTGTTAGTATCTTGCTGGTGTTGTCCCCAAAGAACTGCATTTGTAAGAATAAGGCCTTTTTTGGAACTGTTGGTAACTTGGGTTGCTTTGGTTTTCTCTTCATATTCTTATCAATAAACTTTTCTGGATAACCATTTTAACTTAGCAACCGTTCAGTATTATTAAGTTACTCATCAGGACATTCGTCCGAGCAAATCACTCTTGCTCTGTGAAGGATCAAGCACTTTATCAGATTGCGTTTGTATTTCAAGGGCACAAAGCTGAGAAAATGTCTGTACTGACCCGTTGATGTAGATTTGCTATAAACACTTCTTCTTATTGTGCCATCCTCTTTTCTGGTCATAAGGACGTCGTCTAAAAATGCAGTACTAGAGTCATTTTTCTTTTTCTATAGTAGAATTTATTGTAGGATGTACCTCATTAAAATTTATCCAGGATGCTCTTTGCTTCCTTCTCGTTTTTCATGATAAAAAAAAACTAAGAATCATTTTGATCCATGAAAAAGAATCGATGTAAACAAGAACTTTTCAAAGAACGCAGAAACAACAAAGTTTTTATTTAGAAAAAGATAATATATTTTATTTATCAAGCATAATAATTACAAATAATACTCCAGCAGTAGTGTTCAAAAGAAAATGTAAATACTATTATTATCATCATCACCACTCAAGGATATCAAAAAAAAAACAAACGAAAAAAGTCCTTAAAAAATAACATAAAACATATTGGCAGCATATTAGGCAATATGATGAGACTGTCGTCTAGCGCGCACTCACAACTGTTAGACTGCAGAAATGCAAAAAAGCAAAACGAAACAAACAACAAACAACTTTAGTCCATCATTGGCTAAACAGAGTAAGACACGAAATCCTCTTTCAGCTAGTAATTTACACACATATATAATATATAACAAAGTGTATATAAAGGATTGAATCTGTCCACTATTACAAAAAGAAACGCTGTGTTGTTTGTTTATTTTTTCTCTCCTATACAAACATTCCCGTTGATCAAGTTTCAGTAGACTAGGAAATATGCTATATATATATATACAAGAGATAAATGATCCAAATAAGAAGAAAATGAAAAATTGTATACTCTTATGACATAATAGTAATAATGAAACCTATTCAATGATTGTTTTCGATCAGGGTAAATATACACAGTCTGCATGTGTGTGTGTGTGTGTGTGTGCGAGTTTTATGTATACAGATTTGGACAATAAATTGATGATCAAAAGGGAACTATGTACAAACACACACACACGGTGTTTTATTGTGCAACATATAAAGTGATCGTATACAAGCAAAAAAAAATTGAATTTCATGTCAAAGAAACGGGAATTACGAAAAAGGCGCTACACACTGGATAGAAAGCAAACAAACAAAACTAGCGGCGGACTTTATAAATACAAAAAAAAACAAAACAGAACCAATGTACATTAAAATACTGGAGAAGGAGTACTGTGAACAGTGGATGTTGACTAGTTAGGTTTTTTGAAAGAAAACGACAGGGAGTGGATGAAACAAGCACAAAAAATTAAAAAACAATAATTCCTATAAAAAAAACACAGTTTTACAAGTTTATTATTACAAGTGAATAAATAAAAGGTTATATTCAAAAATAAAATGCACTTTGAACAGATAGCAACTGACACACTTATATATGCATGTTTGAAATTATTAAGACGGTGGGTGGGTAGCTGTCATAAATATAACTTAGAGAATACCAATATGATTACTATATTATTGTTATTATTACCATAAAATAAATACAACAGAGGCGAGAGAATAATAAGTATAATAATAATAATTATAATAATAGTAATAAAAATAATCCGTACAATCATTAATCAATACAATACAAAGGATATTCCCAAAGAAAACGAAAAAGTAAAGTTGAAAACAACGATCCCTGGCAAGATGATGGTGGTGTGATTGCATCACACTAGAGAGAGAGAGAGAGGGGGCAGGCAGAGAGAAAAAAACAGTCGCTATGAAGAATATTTCATCAGATATACTTTGGACGAAAGCACATCAGAGCCCATGATCTTAAGGATATGAAGCTAGCTAGCCATTTGAAGAGAGAATTAATTATTAACACAAACAATTGCACATTTCCTGAGTATCAATTAGTTGAATTGTTGAACAGGAAGGAATAAATTGTGAATGCCTAAAAATCAAATGAACAAAATAGGAAATACAGATAGTCATTAGTGGTGGTTAGATAGGTAATTGTGAAGATAATAATTATTGTAATTATTCTAATAATAATTAGCTTTCAGTAACCTGAATAGTGTTTCACAACAAGCATTTGTAACAAAAAAAAGGAATTCACTGATACCTTCGTTTTATTCTTATCTATTTAGGAGTAAGAAACGCTGTGGTCTAGAAACGAAATACCCTTTAATATACATATACATCACACAGAGGGATTTGCCTAATGATGAATCAATTTACTGGAATTCATAATTACAAAGCCAGATAGATTTCAACTGCTTTGTGATGCATACACTGATTGGTCATGCACTGGACCACACTGACTCCTAGTTTAGAAATAGGGAGGCAAGTGGTAGAGCACGTTGGTCACTTCACTTATTTGGGAAGTACCATCCATCAGCCAGTGCAAACGGGTTGATCTCTGACGAAATCTCAGCACGGATACAGAGGGCTAGTTTCGCATATACCAGTTTTCACCGTCTCCGGCTTAGTAGACGTGATATCCATCTGGCTATCGATCAAAGGGCGGGTGTACTGCTCATCAGTGCGCTTCGTCCTTCTTTATGGCTAGCTGTGAGATCTAGCCATTGAGAGTGGAAGACATGAAAAGACTAGCTGTCTTTGATCATAGGTGCCTGCGTTCTATCTCCCGTGTGAAGTGGTATAATAAGATCAGCAATATTGAGGTTAAGCATCGGTCGAGTGCTAGGTAAGCTGGAGGGGAAATCAATTGACGAGGCAGTGAAAGCAGATCGACTTAGATGGTTAGGACATGTGTTACGTATGCTTAGTTATCGCCTTCCTCGACGGGAAATGTTAGCTAACATAGGGTCAGACTGGAAAGAGCTAGCGGCGGTCAAACCAAAACATGGCTTCATCAGTCAATGAAATCCACAACAGTTAATTTAAGCCAAGTAGGAAGATGTAGACTTCCTGGTTAGGGTCCTTGGGAAGTTAAAATCCAATGACGACTGGAAACAATTTGTGATATGGCTGAAGATCGTTCTCATTGGCGCAGATGCATTCATTCCTTGCGACTTATAATATCAAATAAAACTATACGGTTCTTCAATACTACTATTCTATTTGCTTCATACCTCTGTTTACTGTCATTATTTTGCATTTCTTTTTACTTTCTTCTCTTGCTTTGTGTGCTACATGGAGTGTGGCAACTTGAACTGCCGCACATATGTGCAAAGTTCACTGTCGAAAACAGAGACATGCACTAAGTGATGCAGGTTCGAGTTTGTGAAGGCAGTAGTGTGAAATCCTTCAACACGGCAGATACGCCTAGTTGACTTGTGCCAACAAGCATGAAACAAAAGTGCAGGACTTTCAGCAGATTACCTCCAACTGTCTAACGCTTTATGATGTGTATTACAATGCAAATGATATCTCGGGGGTCATCGGAGATTCGATATATATATTCATAACTCCTTCACAAATAATAAACGCTAAATCAGCAGAAATTTGTCAATTATCCAATGAAGCGGATCGAAATTTAGTTAATCAATTCAATGATGAATAAATTAAAGACAGCGATCTACTTGTCATCAAACGTGCATCGCTGGTTCAGTGACAGAATTCTCGCGAACCACACAAGTGGTCCGGGGCCAACTTCAGGTAGACGGGCTTTAACATCTCGCCTGGTTAACTAGTCTAGAGAGAGAGACATAAGAGGGCCGGATAATAAGGAAGGCTGGGTACAAGGGGGTTAGCACCACCTCCATCCCGTAAAAATAACACCACCGCTATCAGGATTTCAAAAGTCTGAATCCCTATGATGTTGCACTAGAAATACAAAGAATGAAGAAAAAAAGAATTTGTAATAAAAAGTAGAACCAAGGAAAAACGGTGACTACTTTCTTCAGCGTATAACTAAACACTGGCGTACTTAAGGAGTTCACGACTAAGCTAGAGCCAACTGGTGATATATCTGAAAACTGTTGTAAGTGGAGCAGGTGTATCCACTCTCTGTGATCTGCCATATCCAAAAAGACCCTATTGTTTTTCTAATGTTAGTATTCTCCCTTCCTGACATTTCGACTCAGTATAATTCTTCCGAATCTCGTTGTCTTATCTTTTGTCTTTCCTTGTGTTTCTTGGGGTGTTGCAACTAAAACTGTTGCACTTCTGTACAAACTTCAATGTTGAAACCAGTCAGTCCATAACCAACCAGGTAAAAAATACGATTCAGTCTGCATCCATGACATACTGAGCACCATTGAAGTGTGATAATCACTGCACTTATGATTATCTTTCAAAGGTAAATTAAATGGTCGTTTACGGTAACATGGCTTCGGTGCTTCAGTGGTATAATAGTTGTGTAGTCCGGGCTTTGATTCCCCGCAGACGCACTCCTACACTCCGCTAAACTGGCAGTAAACCTGGTAAAGATAGAAGGCTGATATGTGGCTAGCAACCCTTACCTCGGAAAAAGAAAGATACCACTGAAGTTTTATATGTTCTCCTCGGATCGCAAAGGAATAAAATAAAAATATTCAGGTGTTGGTTTGTAGGGATTTGATCTCATAGGGATATCACCGTGAGCTGACATTATTCAGAGAACCACTGGAAAACCAGATGGGAGTACTGGAGCTGTTTCATCCTTAGGACTCTTCAGCACCCATCGGGGTTCCAACCCAGGACCTTCTGTTTCCAAGGCCAGCGAGCTCGCAGACCATTAAGCCATTGGGACTCGATTCAATGGCCTATGAATTCTAACTTCTGCCAAAGCACGACATAGCGCGACCCCTAGCCAATGTCTTCGGCGAGTATTTGTCTTCACACCCGACCAGCTGCACCCTACTGATCACCATTTCTCACTAGAACCCCGGGTAACTACCTACCTGAATAGGGCAAGTCGCTAGTGAGCATCTCACTGATATATAATAATAATAATAAAAATGCAGTAGCATGCAAGCACTTCGATACATTGAGTTTAGTAAGATCCCGTATTTCCAGTCTTTCAGCTCGTTGTTGAGTTAAAAAAAGGATACACGTATCAAATACTCGACTTCAAGTTCTAGTGAGTCAAAACTGAAATAAGATCATTTATCACCACTAATTATTATTTTTCTATATTTATTTATTTAAAAATCTTATTATACATTGGTTGCACATAGTATTTTGGTACAACTATAGAATTTTCAGCATGTGATATCGGTAGCCTAAATTTAGCAGACTAACTAACCATTGATATCAGGTGTGCGCCAGCCGGGGATCGAACCCCAGACCATGTACGTGGTCGGTCGGCGAGCATCCTAACTGCTGTACCACCAACGCACAGTAACAAATAATAATTCTGCTTTATTCCGAAACAGTACAGCTATGATAAACTAGTATATCGATGAAAGATTAACCAATAAACTAATTCCAGTTACATAATATTTCATTCAATTCAAAGATTGTCCTTTCTGCTGGGAAAAACAGAATTTATTCAAAGAATTCTAAGTACAGATGTATCCTACCACACGTCTGATGCAACAAATACCTACTCATCTTGCCTTACTTAGTTTACTAGCCTGTTCCAAGCCCGGATAGAGTGGGAGGGTTGGGGTGTGGGGCTAGAGACCCTACCTCACAAAATCAATTAAACTTCAACGCAGAATAAAAAAAATATTAAAAATACTCGTCTTATACAATGCTGGCAATATGTGACAAGTGCAGAAATAATCCCTGAACAGTACACAAAGCAAATGCAACAAAGTGACTATTGACAAATATGATCAAAACACGAGGTGAATGCATAAAACTCTATTTACCTGATATAGTAGTAATTAAAAAAAAAGCTAAAGGTTTGAAGGAAAGTTGTAGACCTGAGCATTGAAAAAAAAATCAAATTGTAGCACAATATGATATGATTTCACACTCATGAATTTGGCATACAGGTGTTAGAAATCTGTTGTGCCGGTGGATTACTATCATATTGAATTGAACGATTCGCATAACGACGATTGGTTGATTGACTTAAACCAAAGTATTTTAAGTTTTTATCTGGACTGTAAAAATAAAACAAAGGAGACGAAAAAAAATTAAAACATGTTTACCTGAAGTAACAGTTAGCATAATAAAAATTGCGTGATTCAACAAAAACCCTAAATGCAGCTGTCACAAGTCGAAATTTGGTTTTCCAGTGGTCGTTTAACCGTTGTCAGGTCAAGATTAAATCGTGAAACCATTCAAATCCATGCGAACCAACACTTGAAAATCAATATGATGCTCACTAGTTACTGGTCTTGTTCAGGTAGGTAGTAGTTACCTGGGTTCCAGTGGGGTACAGCAGGTCAGGATTCATGGAATGCACATTGGATCGAGTTCGCCTTGTAGACAGAAGGTCCGGGGAACGGACTTCAATGGGTGCGTACTGATGAAGAGTCCCAAACTAGAGCAAAAAAGTTGTCTGGTACTCTCAGGTAGTTCAAATGTCCTTTAACTTATGTCAGTTCATGATGAAATCCCGAAATTTGGTTATTTATTTGTAACGTCTAAATGCATAGGTGTACGCAAAAAAACCCTAGCATTTCAGTACAGTTGAATACATGTAATTAGAAGGTTGTAGGCAATTGAAACGAAGCTATGAACCTAGGTTCCGTGTTTGTTGGCATTCGTCAGCAAGGTGTATCCATAATCTCCAAGGTACTCATGTCATTTCTGACATCCGAACCCGAGAAACAACTCAGTGCTGCAGTCTGAGACATTATCAGTGGGCTATTCGGGGGGTTCATGATTAACTTACCGTAACGGATACTCTGATTGAACATTAGGCAGTAACTAATTTCATGCTTCTAGTCCTTCGTTTGGTGCAGACTGAATTCTGTCGATCTATATAATGCAGATTACTCAAATACAACTTGTCGTACTTTCTCAGTGTAAATGTTAACAAGTTAGATGAATAAAAAAAAAGTAAAACATCAACTTTACTCAGTTTATTGTTTGAACTCAGTTACGCAGAATAATTCCTTCGGAATATCAGCAATATATATTGTGTGAAGCCTGACAATGCTACTACTCAGTTACCCGAACGGAACTAGATGGAATGAATTTGAAACTCACGAACTATTGAATGAAAGTCAAGTATTTAATCGAATGAGTCACATTTCCATACTTTACGGATATATACCATATGTAAAATATGGTATACTAAAGCCATTAAGATAGCTTAGATGAAGATGTACTCTAAGTTTAGTTCGCTGATCACAGAACATACAGTGACATACTAGTCATCGTCTTTAGAGTAAGTTCAGAAGAAGTGAATAAATATTTATTATTATTATTGCATCCTTTAATTCAGCTGCGCATCTCCATTGCCTTCTGTTTTCTGCCAACTTTTTCACCCCGCTCCAAGTCTGCCCACATACTTTCATCTCCTCTTCACATGACCTCCTACAAGTCACCCTTGCACTGACGACCAACTCGCCGCTTCCCTTTCGGGTTCCACTCGAGCAATGGCTTGTTTAGTGATGTCACTTGATGGTTTCCTCAGAGTATGGCCAATCCATCTCCATTTCTTCCTGCCTATTTGTTTCGCAATCGGCTCCTAGTTGGTTCGCTCCCAGAGATTCCTGTTGCTGATCTTTTCTGGCCGGCCATCTGATCTTCAGCGAAGTATTGAGCGAAGACAACTGTTAATGAAGGTCTGAAGTTTGTTTGAGATGCTCTGTATGACGCGCCAAGTCTCTGATCCGTATAGCGAATAGCACTGACTTCACATTGGAGTTGGAAATCCGGATCTTATTTTTGATGCTGAGTGCTGTTGACTTCCACACAGACTTAAGAGTAATGAAAGCTTGTCTTGCTTTCCCGATCCTGGTTGCTTTGATATCCTCGTCAGTTCCGTCGGCCTGTAGTTGAAACGATGCTTCCCAGGTAGGTGTGGGTGAAGAGGGTTGTTTCTTTTAGGTTCCTCCCATTTATGCTGGCTGTCTGTTGTTGTTATTGCTGTTGGTATTAACCAGGAATCTTCATCACCTCTGTTTTCTCTGTGTTCACTTGAAGTCCTATCTTTGATGCTTCTTCTGACAGCTTGTTCCTTTTCACTTGCACATCTTCCAGTTTGTGGGAAATCAGACATATATATATATATATATATTTGGTTTCGCAATAAAAATTAAAATGTGATACTTCATAAAATTATGAATTTTTTTTTATTACAGCTTGATCCCACACCGTATTATTGGTACAAGTATGAAATTTTCAGCATGTGATATCGGTAGCCTAAATTTTGCAGGCCGACCATAGATATCAGATGTGCGTCGCCAAGGGGTCGAACCCCGGACCATGTGCATGGTCGGCGAGAGTCCCAATCACTGTGCCACAGACGCGTTACATCTCTCATCCTTCTAAATTGTTTTATTCGATTGGGCTACGTTGTATTGTCTATGGAGTAATTCAAAAAAAAAATCTTCCAGCACAGATTGTCCCGTACAATCAAAAAGACTACTGAAAAACTAAAGTGAAACAAGTAATCGAATGAAAGATGATAAAAGCTCATTTTTTAAGGTGTTGGGCGGTCACAGGCAATGAGAGGAAAGCCTTGAACCTAGCTACGTCCAATGCTTATCGGCACTTTGAAGGAACTGATATCCCCTCTGAAATTGCAGCCCTAGTCACCAAATGGTGCGATCAACGACGTTATCATTGAGGTGTTATGGACCACGTCTGACTTCCCTTTGAACTTTAATGATTATACTGACTAATCACTGGGACGTAACCACAGTGTCATTTGTCTAATCCTTAATGAGTTCTGTCAGTCAACTTCGCCAATTTATCTTGCTAACGAGTACCCCTAAACACAAAACTTAGGCCCAACGCTTCGTATCGATTGTCCCTAACAGTCTACCAGGATGATGAGTCCCCTAGATTGGCGACTTAACACACCTTGGATAAATTGTCATTTTTTATGCGATTTTGAACCGTGATATACTGGACGAATGACATTTTAATTCTAAAAGATTACCTAGCTTGTGCACGATAAGTATTTCATTTATGAAACGGTTATACAGTATATCAACTCCCGGCGAAGTTAAACTTTCGACACCACTAACTACCTATCAGCCAATTATCCAATGAGATTCACGAACGTAGTTCAATGTTGTAGAGCGCTTGATTCATTTCTAATGCGTGACCTTACAAGGTTATGGCTGCAATTTGAGGATGTTAGTGTTTTCCAGTATTACCTGGATTTAAATTGCTCCGGAAGGAGCGAACTTGTTCTTGTGTTGGTATCATGACTTTAAAAAGCTATAGCAGATCAACTGGTGGGTTTGTTCATCGTTGTGCTGTATGTTTGAAGCATGCTAATATTAGAGAGGGTAAGCTGATAATTTTAATATTTCGTGGGAAATTTTTCCGCTAGGTCACATCTCTCCCTAACCCAGATTTTGTATATCTGCAATTACTGGGTGTTGAAACAGCCGGTGAGAGCAGCAGCTGCCGAGACTGAGAATAGTCTTGTCTCAACAGTTTAGTGGTACCAGCATTGCAGAGATATTGCTTCGTGTAAAACAGAGATAATCACTTGTTTGCTGTGTGGATCCCGTTATGAGGACTCATACGAATTCCACTGAAGGTTTTTGGGGCCGCTTGAAAAACAAGATAAGGGCTATAAATGGATCTGAAAAGGATCTCATTTACAGCCGTTCAGATGAATATAAGTACTGCATGTGCTGTGACTTCACCATTGACAGTCACATGCTAAACTGGGGGATGTTTCTCTCACATATTCGAGAAAGATACTCCTTGTAACCGTTTTATCCTTCTTTATGCTTTTTTCTATAAATATGCGTTTCCATTCATCATATATGCCTATTTAATGTGATTGGTCCGTTCAAGGTCGTTTGCTGATTGGTTGCTAGTGGTGTCGAAAGTTTAACTTTGCCCAACTCCCTAAATATTCAATCATACGTTACAGAGAATTTCTGTTAGTTTATTGTTTTACATTTGTGAATCGTCCTATCAAATATCCTACTTCATTCGCTGACGAAGTTCAGTGCTGAAGATTACACCAAGCTTGATAACGATGATGAAACATCCATGGTTGTGCTACACATCTTTTTTCAACACCACACTTCACTCAGTGTAATAAACAAATAAGTGTACAATCGGGCATACGTTGAGGAGGCCATTAAATGACATCGTCAGAAATGCAAGCCATCGCTCAACTGCAATCCCCAATGGGAAGCGACGACGAATGGATCGTCTTTTCGAAGGTGACATGGAAGAGATCGTGAAAAGAGGAGATGAGAGATTTTAGGCAGTTGTGGAGCCAGATGAAGAGGATGACAGAAAATAGAACAAAGTGGAGATGTGTGGTGTTGAATCCCTATGTTCCATTCGGAACCCAAGGGACTAATAATAATATCACCCTTACTACATGTACTTTCCTCAATGTATCGGGTAAATGAAACAATAAGGCATAATTAGTGAAGTTATCCAAGATGATGTTGACAAGCAGTGGGATCCATGATGCATATTTTGTTCTATTTGGGACTCGTCACATCTGGATATACATACCTAAATTCCAAAAGAGTGATGTGTGAGACAATTAAACACGATTCAAATAACTTTAGGTTAATCGTTAGGCATAGTAGAAGTGTCCGTACTAGAAGTCAGCATGTCAACAGAAACCGAGCTCTTCAGTACAATATAACCAATCAGCTAACTTAATAATAAAGACATAATTCTTGTGAATAAAACCATTAATCATGGATATAGGGGATAACTATTTTTAAATGACTAAGAATATATATATATATATGGATTTGAAAGAGGTTACTTCATTCACTTATCTAGAGAGTATTGTCTCAATTACAGGAGGAACGGACGAGAATCGGGAAGGCGAGAAACACATTCATCAACCAACTGAAACCAATCTGGAAATCTTCGTCACTCAGCCACCATCAACAACAAAGTTCGGTCGGATTTTCAATACAGACGTCGTCAGTCAGCTCTTCTACACGGGTCAGAAACTTGGCGGGTCACAAAGAATATTTCCAATAGCCTGTTGCAGACCAGACCTTTATCAACCAACAACTGTCTTCGCTGGATCTATACTGAAGATCAGATGGCCGGCCGGGCCGGAAAGAATCACCAACAAGAAACTATGGGAACAGACGAAATAAGAACCAATCGCCCAACAAATATGCAGGAGAAGGTGGAGGTCGATAGATTGGGCACTCGTGGCTGAGGGGGCCGCTGGGGGACATCGCGCGCGCGTCAGGCCATTGCTCGAGTGGAACCAGGCCGAAAGGGAAGCGGCAAGTGGGTCGTCAATGCAAGGCTGACATGGAGGAGTTTGTGTAAAGAGGAGTTGAAATAGTATGGACTAACATGCATAGATGGAGGTGAAAAGTACAGCAGAAGGAAGACAGAAGCAAGTGGAGGCGTGTAGTTGAAACCCTATGTTCCACTAGGAACCCAAGGGAACAATAATAATAATATAAGAATATATATATAGCAAACAGTATAAGACAAATCCACTCACTTAGTACTACTGGCAGTCATTATATCCGGATGAATATGTAGAGATGATGATGGTAATTTTGACTGGTGATCAGTATGACTGACATGAAATGAATGTGAACGTGGATGATGACACTCTTTAGGATGTTTAACTTCATTATTTATCGGATAAGAAGAATCAGTATACTGACTGTTGTACATATCCACGTGATGACTGTGGTTGTGGCTGTTATTATTATTATCATTATAATCTTTATTAAAGTTAGCCGGATTAGGTGAAGGTGGTGTTAGTAAGCCAGGATCATAATTAGGAATACAAGAAGTAAACATAATGTTCATTGGTTGTTGCTGTTGTGCAAGATAATGATGATTAAAATTCATCATGAATGGAGGAGCATTGGATTCGTCAGTGTAAATATTACAACCATTACGTTGATATTGCTGATGTTGTTGTTGTTGGTAATGATGATGATGTTGATGACGACGGCGATGTTGATGATGATTCGAATCATTCCTAAATGATGATGATACAGTTCGATGAAAATGATTTGGATAAAAATCCAAGTGTTGATTAGTAGAAACTATAACAGCTGGAGATTTTTCACCATTGTGCTTACCACTTACATTGTCATTATGATATGAATGATATAAGTTTGGATTACAATGTGAATAAGAACAGAATTCTGTAGATTGAGGTTGTTCACACTGCTGATGAGACCGATTGCTTACAGCATCTTTGTCAGGCAAAGCAAATTCATCTATTAATTTAGAGGAAAACAAAATACAAAAAATAAGTAAAGATGAAAGAACAGAATGAAATACCTGTGATAACTAGAAAATATAAATAAGCTGTCGTCTTCTATTGTCACTGTTTTACTGCTTTCTAAGAGAGGATAAACCAGTCGGTACACATTACTCAATAAGTGTATGAGTAAAGTGACGAGACAAGTATCCCCATGAGCTCACCGGAACAAAATACTTGACAAAATACTCCTACTGTAGTGAGAGCTGTCTGCAAGCCGAAATTGTAGACAACAATTTACGCGTCAATGTTTACTTCAGAAATAGCGGTCATGAGAAAAAATAATAACAAAGTTTAACCTTGAGGAACTCATCAACCAGTCACAGAAGACTTGAAGTGTGCAAATACAATTCGCAGATATATATGGCTTAACTTTCTAAGAAACGGTCACAAACAGTACAGAATGGCCTTCAGGAAGAAAACAACCAATTAGAAGACGTTGCTTCTCCGCTGGCAATAATACACATAAAAATCTATAAATATCTCTTGATTTCCTCAATAGACAATCTCTTGCCTGACCCTTGTCTTCTGTTGTTACACCATCACACAGGTAAACTATCGTTTATCTCACACTTTTGTTTCTCATACCCTAAGTCTCACGTATTGAAGTTTCAGTAACGACACTGTTGTTTGCACCACATAGGGTTGCTAGCGTCACGCTCAACCTTCCATCTTTTCCGAGCTAAACACGGACTAGACAAGCTTTTACGAGTATCATCTTACAATAAGATAACCCTTTTGCTTACTGAAGGCTTTATTAACAGCTAAACAGCAAGTACTATCCAACAAATTGGGTATATAAATCATCCAAACCCCATGATCTTCAACACTTAAGTAAAGCAGAATAGCAAGTTAAGTGAAGTTATAGCTTCGTTATTATGCTGATAGTCACAGCAAAACGTTGATCGAAAACAAAAACAACACCAAAATCCAATAATAATTCTTATTCGAATCTTGAACACAATACGAATTTCCGAAGGTTGCAGAAATGTTTCACTGAGAGACAACTGAAAAGTATGAAACATAAGCCGAAGGCTTTCTAGTGATTCACTTCTAACGCCTTATAGTATCATGTCACCGTACAGGGTAATGCTGCGAGAAAATACAAAAGAAAATTGGATTTTGTGGGGTTTTAGTTAACACACTCATTAGTATTCAAGTGTTGGTTTGTAGGGATATGATTGGTTACAGGATTTCATCATGAGCTGACATTGGTTAGAGAAGCATTAGAGAACCTGAGAGTACTAGACAGCCATTACGTCCTAGTTGGAGACTCTTCAGCAGTACGTCCCAAACTAGGACGAAACAGCTGTCCCAGGTTTTCCAATGGTTCTCTAACCAATGTCAGCTCATGATGAAACATTCATTAGTGTTGAATGTTTGAGCAGTCACATACACATATACATATATATATATATATATATATATATATATATATATATATATATATATATATATATATACTCCACTCAACATAATATCTGTATTTCACACCTGAATGCACCCATCCCTAACATTGATCACAAACCAAGGCGTTGTTACAATATGCATAATACAAGTTTCAACCTTCTTAAACAATGAGAATTCGCAATCTCATGGAATAACTATCTTCCCTACCTAATGGCCACACATATGATTTAATTCGTAACTTTTAGTCTACCTAACGTGAACAGATGGAATGATTGTCAACCAAACACACATAGGACAGTAGAACTAAGAGTTGTACATTTTGAAATATTCTAGTAATCTATGGTTAAAATAGTAGAAAAAACTTTAAAGTGAGTCGGTGGCACAGTGCTAGAATGCTCACCAACCACGCCTCATGTGGTCCAGAGTTCGATCCCCCGCCACCGATGCACTCCTTCACCTAGCTAAGTCAGTAGCAAAAGATCGGTAAAGAGGGAAGCTTGGACATGAGGCTAGCAACTCGCATCCCGTAAAAAGAGGGAATCACTGCTACCGAAACTTAAAAGCTCTAGCTTGAAGCCCTTATTCTAATGGGGACGTAAAGGAATTAAGAAAAAAAGATTTTAGAAGTTATGTAATCAAACATACACATTTTTAGGAAGGTGAAACTTTTCTAGAGCATTTGTACGTGTTTAAAAAATTGTGTTTTTATGGACAAACATTATACTACTACTTACAGTGTAGTTATTGTGTACAGAGAGAAAATAGCATAACGTGAGGCAATATATAATTTATACCTACATATAATCGATAACTATGTTAGCTCTAATATATTATTCCTTTGCTTTTAAAAGAAAAAAAATACCTCGGAGTAGTGTAAATTTACAAAAAAGAACAACAACTGGTGACAGTTAAACTAGGCGTTACAATACAGTAAACAGTTACAGCTATAAATTCGATAGCGTTGTATTCATACACCAAAAAAAAGAAACATGAACACAATAAACTACATGTTGTTGTACGCATTAACAGTATTTCTTCCTCTTCTATTTAATAACATAATTCTAAATGTTTTACGTTTAAAAGTGGAGAAAAGTAGTATGTAGTTTAGGGTGTACAAAATAGTAAGAAAGTACCATTCGGATATTTCATTTTACAAGTCAAACAATCTAGTGTTGTAATTATTATTATTTCCTTTAATTCCTAGAGGAACATAGGGCTTCAGCTGCCCTTCTCCATTGCGTTCGGTTCTTTGCTAGAGTTTTCACTTGGCTCTTCACATGACTTCCTTCATGTCACCCTCGCACTGACGACCAACTCACCGTTTCCTTTTCGAGTTCCACTCGAGGGCTTGTCTAGTGATGTCACTTGATGGTTTCCTCAGAGTATGGTCAATCCATCTCCATTTCTTCCTGCTTATTTGTTGCACAATCGGTTCCTGGTTGGTTCGTTCATCGCCAGAGATCCCTCTTACTAATCTTTTCTGGTCGGCCATCTGATCTTGAGTATTGAGCGAAGGCAGCTGTTAATGAAAGTCCGTAGTTTGTTTGAGGTGCTCTTTAGGACGCGGAACTAGGTCTCTGATCCGTATAGTAGCACTGACTTCACATTTGAGTTGAAAATCTGGATCTCATTTTTCATGCTGAGGAATGATGTTGTAATATCTCTGCACAATTTTTCATGGATTGACGTCATGTTTCGGTTTGATCACCTTAAGTCTTTTCCGACAAAATCCTGTGTCAGTTAAGACTACTAACTTGTTGAGAAAGGCGATGGTGTTGGCGGCTCGGTACGTGTTGTGGGCAATTCAATCAATGTAGCTTCATAGGAATACCTACTCTATGAATAATTGAAAAGCATTTAGAACAAGTAATAACGCTTGCCAGACAGATTGTGATAATTTCAATAGCAAATGGGTTTGTTTGTTTGTTTAAGATCGAATGTATCCCTTCTGACTGAGGTTTGGGAACACACGAACTGATATCTAGAGATTACTGTGATTCTAGGAAGTTAGAAGAAAGAGTTGGATGCATTTTTGCAATACTAGTGGAATTGTTCCCGAATGCGCGGATTAACTTCATTCAGTATTTACATTACTAACCTTTATTAACTCCATTCAACAGCTATATGATTGTCACATGTAAAGTGATTCAAAACAGAAACTCGGTGATGCCTTTGAATTGAAGTCAGGAGTAAACCAAGGCTGTCAGTTATCTCACCAGTGGTCTTTTCGACTGTGGTGGAGTGAATCATGAAACAAACCTCGGGGAAAAAAATGATGAGCACACGAAGGACCGACAAGAAAAGTTGATGATTTATTAGTTATGTTACACAAACTCGAAGTCTTGCAGGCGAAAACTAACAAGTCAACAGGATAAGCAGCAAAGACAGGACTTCAAGTGAGAAATTAAAAAAAAACAGAGGTGATAAAGATACCTGCTCACCAACAGCAAGCACCAATCACCACCAAACGGGGTAAATTTGAAGGAGGTAACCTGTTTCGCATATCCAAGCAGCATCGTTTCCACTACAAGCGGGACAGATGGAGATGTCAAAGTAAGGATTGGGGAGATGTAAGACAGATCTTCAATAATCTGAAAATTCACTGCATTAGGCATAAAGAACACGATTCAGATTTTCAACACTAATGCCAAGTCGATTCTTTTGTATGGTTCTAAGACTTGACGTTTCACAAAAGTATTTCAAACAGACTGAAGACTTTCATCAACAGCTACCTCCGCTCCATACTGCAAATTAGATGACCAACAAGGAATTCTGACAACAAACTAAACAAGAGCATAGCGACCAACAAATTTGCTGAATAAAGGGAAATAGATTGAAAACATGTTGATGGGACCGATAAGTAATATCTCCCCTAGGCTCTAGAGTGGAACCTGAGTGGGAAACAACTAGTTGGACGTCCAAAAGTAACATGGAGGAGATCATGGGAGATGTGAGCTTATGGACAATCGTGAAGCCAGGTAAAGATGACTGAAGAGAACACGGGGAAGTGGAGAAGTGCCACTGAAGTTCCATATTCCAATTCAAACTGAAGCGAATAAAATTAATAATAATAATAGTAGTAGTAACTGGTGAATAGTATCGTATAGTATAAGTGACAACAAACTGCATAGATCTAGAGTATACAGTGTAGGCGCTTTTGCGTACAGACTGAAACGATGTAGTCTATTATTCACTTATATGGAATTCAAAAACCAGTTGGTTTAATATCTGTACTAAAGAATGAGAGTTACTCAAAGGATGTTAATCTAAGTAAGAGAAGTTAAATCTATTGATAATTATGACAATAATTATCTTAAATAAAGTAGAGGGAAATATGAACACACAGTTTCTTTCTTTCCGTTCATAATATAAGTGAATTACTTTAGGATATTGACTGAGGACGAAATTTCATGTGACACATCATTTAAGCCAGAAAAAAATCAACTGGAAGATCAATTACATAGTTGAGATATAACGATGAACGTTAACCCAAAAAGAACATTTACCCTAAAAGCATTAATAACAGTCTGACTGGCGTAAGTTATCCAGTTGTTAGATGTTACCACATGCATGTCGATGCGCTTGGTAATAAGCTACACCTGTAATGTGAAAGTTGATCATATAAGCTGACTTTTCAAAGTGACTTGGAAGTCGACTGTCTAGTTTGCGGAGCCACAGCGCCATCGTAATATGATTATCGACTTATAGGCCTAAAGTCAGTAAGTTTTCTCTAATTAACAAATCGATACGAATATCACAGGCTTTAACGTGCTGAATACACAAACAACTGACTAACCTTAAAATCTATTGAAGTAAGGAGGTTAAAGTTACCATTTTCATAACAACACAGAGACATACAAAAAGACATAAAGACGCTGAACTGAAAATACCCCACTTTTAATATAAAAGAATACCATTTCCTTACCATCAGTACCACCATGCATTGAACCACCGCTTGGTGGTTCACGTTTTAAACCATTCAACATTGCAGACTGGAGCAAGTAGTTTGAATCTTTATGATTTGTTGAATTCTCCATAAGCCCTGGTGAATCAATCATCGATTTATCAGTACACGATGATGTTAACAATAATAAATGCGGATTTGCAAATGAGGCATTATCTACAACAACATCATGATTTGTATGATTCATTATTGTATGACAAGATGGACTGACTGGATACTCTGTACAATTCATATTTCTATGTACAGGATAATAGTAGGATTTAGATAGAATATCCATAGTAGACTGCTGATTATTATTATTTTCATCATTGCTGGAGATTAAACTTCTCAACTCGAAATTTTCATTTCTAGTTAAATATTTTGGTGGAGGCGGAGGTGCTGGACTCATCGGCGGCGGTCGGGAGGCGAGCTGTACACCTGTTCTTTTATTATTTTGTTCAAAATTGATATTATCCATGACTCGATTATCATTGGTGACATTAGGTGAAGTTGTCAGAGGAGTGGAGTGTAAGTTATCCAGTAGAAATCCACCACTAAGGTGATTGCCTTTTTTCAAACTTTTGTCGGTAGCTGCAAATGAACAGAAAACAGAATTCATTTTTCATAAATCAAACCTCGACAAACACATTTATATATGGCAGACAAATACATATGATGTACAAGTATTGGTTTGTAGGGATTTGGTTGATTGGTTACAAAATTTCATCATGAGCTGACATTGGTTAGAGAACCGTTGGAAAATCTGGGAGTACTGGACAGCTGTTTCGTCCTAGCTGCCTGGGACTCTGAATCAGTACGCACTAGCAGAAGTTGGAATAAATGGGCCATTGGATCGGGTCCCAGTGGCTTAATGGTCTACGAGCTAGCTCGCCTTGTAACCAGAAGGTATCGTATTCGAACCCCAGTGGGTGCGTACTTATGAAGAGTCTCAAACTAGGACGAAACAGCTGTCCAGGACTCCCAGATTTTCCAGCGGTTCTCTAACTAATATCAGCTCATGATGAAATCCTGTAACCAATTACATATGATACTTCGCGCAAATTAGAACACAACAGTGTCGAGCTACATTATATATAATACAAGATGTGAAACTATCAACTTACTGAATGGTTCATAATGTTTGCAAAAAAAAAAACAAAACGTATTCTTAACTGACCCCGTTTTAATACCAAAGGAAATATGATATGAGAACAGATTAACTGCATGTATCTCTATCATTTATAATACGAAATTGGATGAGTTATGTTTACAAAAGTGTAAACGATCATTTTACTATGGATACACAAATGTATTCAGATTCAGAGTATATGACAGACTGGTATCAAAAGGAATGGGTGTATAACTGTAGTACAAGCGCAATGATTTACGTATTTTACGCATATGAGTTCTCTATGAAACAGAATCGGTTTGTTAATAAATAATAATAATTTGCTTTATTCCAAAACAGTACCTGTGATACAGAATGGAATTCTCAGCATTTTACTACAGTATTGCAACCAGTTTGTACATTAACAATAAATAAAGTTCTACATAGATTAAGAGTAATCTCAATTAGTTTTGACACCAACACATTAACATGACGCTAGCAAAGCCAAAATTGAACAGAGTGTTTGAAGGTGTTAGAAAAGTAGATACTACTAGCATATTTACTGGCGTAAGCGGTAACAAAAGGTCGAGATATACAGAGTGTGAAAGAACGAACAAGAATGTTTTAAGTAGAGTTTGAAAGGAAGAAAGAAACAAAGCAGCACATAACAGAGAAAAAATAAAGAGAGAGAGGAAAGGAATAGAGAGAAAGAAAACGTTGTACCTTTAAATGATATGAGTTGGAAAGACGAGATCCACTTGTTCTACTGACTATTTAATAAGTTATAGGTATCACACCTAGTACTTTCTTTATCACACAGAACACCAGGTAAGTAAGGTATGGTTGAGTTTTGAACTTGCTAGTGTGAGCATATGGTTTTCTATATGGGCAGGCTTCTGGTCCTGCTTCATGAGATACAAGGGGAGAGTTGTGAATGAATAGGGTGGTGTGTTAGCTAAAATAGATTGAGCCCATTTTTCACATGAGTTCAAATGCCTGTCGACCAGAATATTAACAAGCTGGTTAAGTGGCACGTTGCTTACCCTGGTGACAACCTTTAACATCCTGCGTAATAAGGTATAGTCCTTCTTCAGTAGCCCAGGAAAAACTAAGGGGGAACAATAGAGAATAATAGGCAGGATACAAGAGTTAACGAATCGTAGGAGTAAGGGTTGGATTGGGTTATTCCAGAATATCTTAACATCTTGATGCAGAAAGGTAAGACGGAATATTTTCTTAGAAATCATCAAAATATGAGACAACCAGGAAAGATCAGCAGATAGAATGACGCCTAGGTATTTAATTTCCGAATTGGTTTCTATTTCAGTGACATGTATGTTGCACACCTCGTGAGTGTTAACCAGTTTGATTAGGTCAGATTTATGCCTAAAGGTGAAATTGACTGTTTGGCGTTTAGAGGGATTTAAGGTTGCTTAATCAAGTCATCAATGTTGTATTTGTGTAGCTGGCAAAACGGTTACCTAAAATTCAGTTCACTATCACAACTAGTTAACAATGACCATAGTCTGTTATACGAAATATAAAAGTGTTCATACAGTGAGTAGTAACGGGAGAGTTTGTTTCTAGCTACAAACTCTATTTTTTTGCTATTGAGATCATCTCAGATACAAAATGAAGGTTGAATGGTGGTGATGGGAATTTATTGAGAAAGTTTCCGATGTTCCAGTTCTTAATTAAATGGAAAACGGCACTTCTCTTTAATTAACTAAACTTTAAAATAAGTTAGAACAGACTGGTTGGCAAGCTTATATGACGATGAAAAACCTCTTGGGTATCATTTTTCCCACGTAACACCTTACTGGACACCTCAGAGATTAAAGTGTAATTAAGTTTTAACCAATGCAGGGATTGGAACACAATAGTATATCTATTCAAGTCACCACAATTAGGAAATACAACACACACAAAAAAAAAAATAGACAGAATGATATTACAACAAAGAACTAACTAACTTTCCATATTTTTTTACAGACAGACTTAACACGATAACACACACAAACTACTTTCCACAAAGGTCCAATCGAGGATAGAGTAAATTTCAGCTACTTGCCTATTAATTTTACTTCATTGAGATAGATCAAACAACGAAACTTATAAACATATCTTAAAATAATTATTGAATTGATTCAAAGAGAAGTTATGCACCATATTGCTAACCGGTCTGTTTAATTACCAACTTTATAATGTTGGTTTAAAGCTCAGTGATGTTCTCTTTTGCATAAAATATCTACTTGCCGAAACATAATCTTGAATCATCGGAACATAACAGTATTGGCAGTTCCATTTCACTGACTTTAGTCTTATTAACTGTTACTTAACAACTTTTTGTCGGTTACTAGTCATATGATCAACTACCTCTCCAAAAGTACGCTAAGAATTTAAAACAGACCAACAGGATGCGGAGATTTATTCATAAGCATCACACAACCTAATAAAGTAATCAGGAATTAAACTGCAATTAAAGTCCGGTCAGTAGTCCAGTCTCATAACTTATTTGATAATTAATATGCACAATAGTAGCTCAACGTGCGTCGGTGGCACAGCGGTTAAGATGCTCGCCCGCCATGCATATAGTCCGGCGTTCAACTCCCGGCCACCGACGCACCCCTTTACCTCGTTAAGCCAGTAGTGAGACTGGTAAAGAGGAAAGGTTGGGCATAAGGCTAGCAACCCCATCCTGTAAAGATTAAACACTGCTACAGAAACTTCAAGACTCTAGCTTGGAGCCCTATGTTCCACTGGGAACGTAAAGGAAAAAAAATAGTAGCTCAACAGTGTCATTTCCAATGAGAGCATGTTAAATAAAAATCTTAGGAAAACAGAAAAAGTTACAATAATAACTTGACTTCTGTACATGATTTTCTACACTTAAAAGTTTTATGTTTGACTACGGAATGATATCAGTTGGATAACTACTGAAAATCAGGGAGTACTGAACAGCTGTTTCGTCCTTGCTTGAGACGCATCGACCTTCCGGTTACAAAGTAACCTCGTAGACCATCCAGCCACTGAGATACGAATCAATGGACCATGACTACTAGCTCCTATCGATTCATGATTTTAGCTCGACTACCAGCCAGTGTCATCGGTAAGTATTTGTCCTCAATCTCGACTGGTGGACCCACCCCAATGGTCACGACTTCTTGCTAGAGCTGCAGGCAACTTCGTCCTATTATAGCCGCCAGTCACCAGCGAGCATAAGATTGATTTTCACGAGTCAGAACAAAACAGAAGTGTAGGGTTCCCTGGTTATCAATTGTTCCCCATAAGTGATATCAATCCATGGCAAAACTTGTCAACTAACTCTTTAAAATTAAAAGTTTTGCTTGTGAAAAGAAAAATAAGCTAAACTAACCTTGGTTACAAGGTAGATTGTAATTGTCACAAACACCACCACCACCAGCAGTACGATTGATCACTAGCCGATGTTTATCTCGTCGTTGACGACATATACACAGGACAACTAGACAGATCATAATTAAAAGCATTACACTGGTAAGAGCACCCAAAATAAGAAACATTAATTTATTCGATTCCATTGAATTAAATGCAACTATATTTTTATTATTATTGTAGTGATCACGTGATTTGGATGTTGAACGTAAATCAGAATCTTGACTGTCAAGTTTATCACTAGCCATCACTGAAATCTGAAAAAGAAAATTATTGTTTTAAAACAAATTTTATTTTTGTTGAAATTGGGATGGGGATTTCTGTTATGAAATACGCTCAGTATATCAAGAAATAAGGATAAACCACTTAAAAATTTTGCCTCCTCTATGTGTACATACTATTTTGACTACACTCCTTTGTAGTTAGTTACATTGAAAGTAAAACTTTTCATGTTCATCATCGAATTTCTGAAATTGGGGGATGGTAACTACCAGTGGAATCCAGGATAACGCGCATTTCGTCCTATTTGGGACTCGTCACTGGATGTAACTGCATTTCCCAGTGAGCGATGATGTTCCCACTGAGGCCCGAACTCAGTGCCCATAGTTTCAAACGCCAAAGCGTCTGCATCTGCACAAGAAGCCGACATGTCATCCTAAGACCGAGCACTTCGGTCCAACCAACCGACAGGAGAATCTAAAATTCAATTAAATTAACATGACCCGTTGCATAAGAGGTGGCCCTCGTGGCCCAAATGGTCTAGTAGATAACCCTTTGGCATTTGAAACTTTGGGCACTGAGTTCGAGCGTCGGTGGGAACATCATCACCCACTGGGAAATGCAGGTACATCCAGATGACGAGTCCCAAATAGGACTAAATACTAATCCTGGGTTCCATTGCTAGTCACCAGCCACCAGTTAAATTCCAATTAAACGCCCAGACGTCATCGAAGCATCTGCACAAGAAACCGACATGTCAACCTGAAATCTTAAATTCAATTAAATCCTTTTGAGTGGTTATACAAAAGACAAACAAGGTTCATTCGTAGCTCTCTTTCAGTTCACCTTGCAAACAACGAGCGCACAGTTGACGTCAACAAAGTATTTGAAGTCATTTATGGTATTCTAACTAATGTTAATTTTGCTCTAAGAGTTCATCTTCTATGCATAAAGCTGAGGCCATAGGGATCCATCTGAAGATGGAATTCGTATAGTTAAATTCCACATCTCGATCATCACTACTTCACTGTAAAAGTTTGAAAATTTCTCTTTCTCCCTCTAAGCCATTCAACTATCTAATTATTCTACCCTTCGATGATATTAGATAGTTAGAGGCAATCGGCCACAGGAAGCCTTGCTTCACCTAGGTTTCGTGCTAGTTGGAACTCACCAGTCAGCAAGGCCTATCTGCAAACTTGAAGGAACCCATGTCCCTTCTTTCAGTGGTAACGTCTCTGACTGCAGCACTGGGTGACGCGGGTTCGAATCTCAGAAGGGACATGAGTTCCTTCAAGGTTGCAGATACGCCTTGCTGACTGGTGAGTGCCAACTAGCACGAAAGCTAGGTGAAGCAAGGCTTCCTTTGGCCGATCGCCTCCAACCATTTAATATCATCAACTCAATATGTGCACCATGATGGCGAGCTTCCCAGAATGGTGGCCACATTTCAAAGCCTAACTGATAGAATTCAGTCTGCACCAAAGAAAGGACTAGACACATCACACTAGTTACTAGTGTCCAATCAGATCAACACTAAATTGTCCTAAACATTCAGTAATCGATAAAACAAACAGCTGATTCTTCCGACAGGAGAGTGACACAAAAGGTATAGATTAATGAAGCAGTACGTTATTATGCTTAGAATAATTGCCAACATCCATATTACCCGACAGTCTAGACCTGGAGGGCATTCCTCACAAGCTTACCGAAATTACTACCTATTAGCTAATGACCCCTTTGTCTACAACCACGTTGATTATATATATAGAAATAAAAACTCACTGAGCGTGGTTTTACGAATACTTCATGACTAAACTGAGTAATTTTTCGTCCATTCAATCCACCTGTGAAAATTGTAGCTTGTGGATCGAATCCTGGAGGTGTATGCACGCCATAAACAACAATTTGATAACCTTTGCCTGGTTCTAAAGCCTGTAATTTGTGTTCCTAAACAAATGAAAAATAAACAAGCAATACAACAAGCGAATAATACTAGTTTATAAAAAAAATGAAATAATAAGTAATAATTATATGTTTAGATCAGACTTCATCCAATTACTCTTGAGATGAGGACAAGACAATACGGTATTAATTATTATGGTGGAGTTTTGGATGACTAACTTTCAGCTGCTGTGTTATTCTCATTGAATTCCATTTAAATGATGAACATGGATCACAGACTGACAGGATTAATCAGCATAATACTAAGCAACTCAAACACATCAGGATCACAGGATTCAGTTACTTGACTAAAAATACTTCTACGTATTATTATCAAATAGACGCATATGCAGTCAATAAGTTTTTCTATTAGATGAAACTTGAAGACCTAGGCTCTGTGCTTGCTAGCACTCGTCAGTAAGGCATATCTTCAACCTTGAAGGAACTGAGATACGAACCCAACATCATCCACTTTTGTTTCTTTTTGTTTCCAAACTAATCTGTATACTTACTCTGGCATCAGCCCCATCAACAAACACAGCTTTAAATCCATTGTAGGTAATTCTTCCACTATTAGAACGTTCTTCTGGACGATATAGTAAAAGAAAGTGATCAATAGGGAAACCAACAGCTGATTGAGTTAATCTCCATCGTGCCAATATGCCACCGTCAGACTGGAAAAAGAAAACAGAAAGTAAAAAGTAAATCCTACCAAGGTATTCTTATACATTGCATTAAACATAAAATCATCGGTAGTTTAAAAGAACCACAATACTAATGATCAGTAACCGGAAATCAAAGAATAGATCACCGCTTTTCATAGCTCATATGGATGATTTTGACGCGGTTACGTTCTCCTAGCTAATGGTGGTTTAACTGTGAAACTCTCATTGTCCCTCTAGACAACCTGTTTGGCACAGACTTCCATAACTTATTTGGATTCTCCATGAACGATATAATTGTGTCTCCCAACAATCTATGTGATTGATTGTTAATATGCGTTACTGCCATAATACAAAACTAGGCATCGAGAGCTACGTAAAGAGGGGAAATCAATCGATGAGGTTGTGAAGTTACATCGATTGAGACAGTTAGGACATGTGTTACACATGCCTAGCCATCGCCTCTCTACACGGTCATATCTTAGCTGATATAGGACTAGGTTGGAGGAGAGTTCGTTAATGGTGGTCAAACCAAAACATGGCTTCATCAGTCAATGAAATCCACAACAGACAATTAAAGCCAATCACATAGGGAGCTGTAGGCTTCCTGCTTGGGGTCCTTGGGATAGTAAAAAAGACTGGAGACAATTGGCGATATTGGTTGGGATCGTTCTCAGTGGCGCAGATGCATTCACTCTTCGTGATTTATAGTATCAAATAAAATTTTATTGTTCCTCCATATTGCTATTGTTTTTCCCTCACACTGCTGTTTATTGTCTGTCTCTACTTTCTTTGCTTGCTTTGTGTGCCACATGGAGTATGACATCTCAAACTGCTGGACATCTGTGCAAAGTTCTACGTTGAAACCAGTCAGTTATACTGTAGCGACAGAAGACAAGGCCCAGATAACAGACCGTTTATTAAGGAAATCAACACATATTTATAGATTTTCATGTACATATTATAGATTATTGTTAGCAGAAAAACACAGTCTTCTGATTGGTTGTTTCTCACAGAAAGTTAACCTGACATCTTTTTGTGGCTGTTTCTTGATTGTCACATCATCTATATGTTAACTGTATCCGCCTACGCAAAGCCTTTGTTCTCATTTTTCTCACAACAAATATTGGGGACAAAAACATTGACGTAAATTACTGTCCAGCAATCTTGACTAACAGCCAGCTCTCACCACAATACTACAAAACAGGTTTTAGTTTTTCCTGAAAATTATATAATCGTCGGACGATAGAGTTCAGTGATCGGTATTCTTTCTAAAACCAGTAAATTTTTCACACATCAGAAATATTCTTTAAATCTTAAATATTAGAATTATATTAGAATTTGTCTTCCCAAAGTCGCCTTTTTGATGGTTCCCAGATCTGTCTCTGTCTGTCTGTTTTCAACATAGAACTTTGCATAAATGTGGGGAAGTTCAAGTCGCCACACTCCGTGTAGCACGCGAAGCAAGAGAAGAAAGTACAAGAAAAGCATAATAGAAACAGTGAGCAGAGGTGTGAGTCAAAGGAGTAATAACGAAGAACAAAACAGTTTCATTGGAGATCATAAGTCACAGGGAGTGGATGCATCTGCGCCACTGAGAACGATTTTGAGCAATGTCACCAATTGTTTCCAACCATAGATTTTTACCGTCCCGAGGACCCCAGCCTGGAAGTCTACACCTTTCTACGTGGCTTAGACCAACTGTTGTGGATTTCATTGACTGGTGAGGCCAAGTTTTTGTTTGACCGCCGCTAGCTTTTTTCCAGTCTGACCCTATATCCGCTAACATTACTCGTCGAGGGAGGTGATGACTTGGCGTGCGCAACACATGTCCTAACCATCTCAGTCTTTGTAGCTTCACGACTTCGTCGATTGATTTCCCCTGTTTACCTAGAACTCTACGCCTAACCTCCATGTTGCTCACCTTATTATGCCACTTTACACGGGAAATAGAGCGCAGGCACCTATGATCAAAAACAGCTAGTCTTTTCATGTCTTCCACTCTCAGTGGCCAGGTCTCACAGTTGGCCATAAAGGAGGACGGAGCGGACTGATGAGCAGTACACCCGCCCTTTGGTCGATAGTCGAACATCTCGTCTACGCCAGAGTCGGCGTAAACTGGCAAATGCGAAACGAGCCCCTGTATTCGTGCTGAGATTTCGTCAGAGATCAACCCGTTGGGACTGATGGTACTTCCCAAATAAGTGCTGGTTCCCAGATAAAAAAGTAATGATAATAACAGTATAATGCAGTTGCTTTGGAAACCTTAAGACCGCACATTTCTTTAACAAGAGTGTGAGGCTGTCACTCGGGTGGAACTCAAATAGGAAACGACGAGTTGAACATGAGTCCGAGGGTAAAATATTGAAGATTGCGTGACGAGGAGGCGTGAGCTTATGAGAACTTGTGAAGCCAGCTAAAAAGTAATCCAAGGAACAAGATGAAATGGAAATGTGCTGCTGTAGCCCCCCCTATGTTCCATTCGGAAACCCAAAGAGGCAATAAAAGAAATAATAATCATGAGAAAAAAAAGTTTTGATATAACACAAAGTGAGAAACAAACACAACCTACCAAGCGTTCAGTTTCTGTGATAACTGGAGCAACTTTTGAGATATGCTGAAAACTGACCGGATCAGACCATGGACTTTTATCAACTATCTCATCATTATCCTGTTTAATGGCATGTATTCGAAACTGATAACTTTTCCCCGGTACAAGTTCACCTGGATGACGACTAGTTAGATAGAAGTGTTTATTTTCTAAACAACACGTTTTATCATGACTACAGCATTCTTTCACCTACAAAATTAATTGATAGATAAACACATAAAAATATACAAATAATGTTTTTGTATTTGAGCAGTACAAATAGGTAGGCGGGGGAGGGAAAGTGTCTCAAAAATGAATTTCACTTTCAATGATTTAAAGTAGATATAAGCACATGTAATGCACATAAAGACAACTTCAAAGGGTTAGGGTACAGTAGGATTTTGAAGAAATATCTAAGAGAAATGAGGTATGTATATATACACATATCAGGATGTATAGAATATTGATCACTTCTATGTGCCTATATAAAAACACCTATTCCTGTAGAGCCGGGTATGCTGTCTGTAAGGGTCCAGGTATACTATTCTTCATGTTTGCAGAAAGATAGAGGTGACTCTATAAGAAGTGCGATAAATAACTGAAGACCCTGTCAACACCAGTAAGCTTTCGTTTCTTCTAGTCATCCAGATAAGAGAGCCAGAGGTCTTGCATACATAAGTTAACTATTTAACCACTTCTACTATCCTGGTAACTACCTCGATTTTTTTTAGCTGTTGATAACTCTTGTATTTCTTTTGATCTTCTAAATAATTTCACATATTCTTTCGTTTCTATGTGCATCCTGATAAAAATTCAAACACGCGTACTGATGAAGAGTCCCAAAGAGCTAGGACGAAACAGCTATCCAGTACTCCCAGCTGGTTTTCCAATGGTTCTCTAACTAATGTCAGCTCATGATGAAATCCTGTAACCAATCAAATCCGTACAAACCAACACTAGAATATTGAATTATCCACCTTATTATGTAGCTCTAATACATCATCATTTCATTCATTCATCATTAATCATTTCCTTCACGTTCCCAGTGGAACATAGGCCTTCAAGTTAGAGGCTTGAAGTTTCTGTAGCAGTGTTTATTTTTATAGGATGGGGTTGCTAGCCTCATGTCCAACCTTCCCTCTTTACCAGTCTTATTACTGGCTAAGTGAGGTAAAGGAGTGGATCGGCCGGGGATAGAGAACCCGGAACCATGTGGATGGTCGGCGAGCATGCTAACCGCTGTGCCACCGACGTACACACTTATTCAACTCCTCTTATTTATTGTTTAATACTATCCTTGCTATCCTTTTTTCGTGAAAAATTTTATATACGTGAGATTTTACAGTTAAAGAAAATGAATTCGCTGAAAAGGTCCTCTTTGCTAAACCACTCATCGCTTTGTTATTTTCAATAATACTTAGCATAAACTCTCATACTTCTCAATTACAATAGAAAAAGACGATACCAAGAAAATTAGAAAAACAAAACTAGCTTGATTAAAAAAAAAGCATAATGAAAATCTGACTATTAATTTTGTGAATGTTTTAAGGATTTCATCATCAGCTGACATCACTTAAAGAACCACTGGAGAACCTGGGAATACTGGACAGCTACTTCGTCCTAGTTTTGGACTCTTCAGTAGATCATGATGAAATCGTCCAACAAACAAATCACAGAAACAAAATTTCAATGAAAAAACAAATAATTGAAAATTGATCTGATGGTCACCATCGACTGGCCCTTTTTTCAGGCAGTTATCTCGGGTTCTAGTGGGAAGTTGTGACCAGAAGGGTACAGCAGGTTGAAGATGAGGCATTAACTCGTCAAAGAAGAGATTGATAAGTGGTTGAGCTATGCCATGAATTAGCAGAGGTTAGAATTCATGAGGTGGTCACTGAATCGAGTTCCAGTGGCTTAATGGTCTACGACAAGCTAGCTGGCCTTGTAACCAGAATGTCCTAGGTTTGAACCCCGCCGTGGTGGGGGCGTACTGATGAAGAGTCGCAAAGAGGTAGGATGAAATAGCTGTCTAGTAATCCATGCAGGTTTTCTAATGGTTCTCGCCAACTGATATCAGCACATGATGAAATCCTGCAACTAATCAAACATAATCCTTACAAAAATAATACTTCAAAATATTCATTTTTCCACAATAATATAAAGAATTTTTCATGATTAGATCAGAGTAAAACACAAGAGAGATGCGGGAGGGTAGTAGTATGAATGAATGAATAATTTAGGCTTTAGCAACACCCTACTCAAAACTTATAAAAACATAAAGTCTCTTTTATTTTATTTAGAAGAAATTCCTGCAAATCTTTCCGTGTAGATATTAGAATATATGCTTTTTAAGTAACACACAAAAAGGAAAAGCATTAAAGGTTATTATTATTATTGTTTTTTTGTTTAAGGATAGGCGAACTAACTACACGTGTCATTCAAAATCTATTCCACTTCTTCTAAAGCAACACATAAAGTAAATAAATAATTCATAAGATTTATTTATTTCAGGAAGATGAGAAGGGTAAATAGCACACGATGAAAATATTCCAATGAAAGTGAATCATATCACAACTATAACTTTACACAAACTTCTAATAAACCAGATAAAAGTCAAGCGAATTCAACAGGTATTCTTGGAAATAAATAAAAAGGCATTGTTATTGTACCTTGAAACAATGTGAATACTAGGGCAGCGCACCTAAGTGCCGAAAACGTATAGAAAAACCAGTGGAACATCATAGTAAAGACACTCTAAACTAGAGTGTTGAATAACATCATACACTTTAAAGACTATTCACAATTGAAGTACATATTATGAGAAAAAGAAAAGGAAACAAAAATAGTATGATTTTAGACTAGTTCAAAAAGTATCTTCATTGCCGCCATATTTACAGATACTTCTTTAGAGGAGAGAGAGAGAGAGAGTAGAGCAGTCCTTAACAGTAAGTAAGTATTTACCGTCACAATCTTTTTAAATTCACCAGCAACATATTAAGTTATCAGTCAAGAAGTGTACTTCCTGAGAAAATCAGCCGACTACCCGTCTGATTACCGTTATTTTTATAATAAGCGCGTATAGTAGTAATTTAGAATTTGGCGTTTTCTTTTGTAATACATCTATCTTTTCACGGAAAAAAGTTGAAATTGCCACCAATGAAACAAGTGCAAATGCAAACACGTCTTTTTTTTTTGTTTTACTTAATTCATAAAAGTTAATTGAAGACATAATTGTATTTCGACTGGTTGGAAAACAAAGTTGTATTTTGCAATGCTACATACCAATTTAGGGATCGTAAGATTTTTATGATCAACTTTGTAACTAAAGAAACAGAAGTGAATGGGTAATCAGTTAATTTATCTTAGGATAGACACATACCATTTTAGACAATTTCGATGTAGCTCTTTACCTAGTTTTCAGTTGTCCATGTGAAAACTGTACGTTATTATTTTTTTCCCATTATTAAGAGCAACTGTGAAAAACAATTGGAAAGTCGTCAGTTAGTATTCCTGTGCTATTTTGAGTAATAATAAAGAGATACTTGGTTACAGGATTTCATCATGAGCTGACATCATATCCCTGGGGGTTCGTGACCAGTAGATTGCAAAAAGTCGGGTGTGAGGACCAATACTCGTCGAAGACATTGCCTAGTGGCCACGCTATATCGTGAATTGGCAGGACTTAGAATTCATGGGTTGGCCATTGGATCGGGTCCCAGTGGCTTAATGATCTACGAGCTAGCCTTTTAACCAGAAGGTTCTGGGTTTGAACCTTGGAGGCGGCTATGTACTGATCAAGAGTCCCAAACTAAAACGGAACAGCCGTCCAGTACTTCCAGGTTTTCCAATGGTTCTCTAACCGATGTCAACTCATGATGAAATCCTGTAACCAATCAATCAAATCCCTACAAACCAATACTTAAAAAAGATACTTGTCATAATTTGTGAACTTTATTCATTTAACATACATACCTAAACAGCAACAGCCCAAATCACTATTAATAGGAGAAATCTAGGTTATTTCACACCTTTCACTTATCTAGGCAGCGCGTCATTTCAACTACTAGCATCGGAGATGAGACCATCAGAGCTGACCAAAATCGGAAAAGCAAGACACACCTTCACTGCTCTGAAATCGGTATGGAAATCTCCTGCACTCAGCATAAGGAACACTATTCAGATCTTTAATAGCAATGTCAACTCAGTGCTATAAAATTCAGAGAATTGACGCGTCGTAAAAAGCTATTTCCAACTGTCTACACTCCATATTGAAAAACAGAAGACTGGTGGTCAACAAGGAGCAATAATAAGGAACTCTGGCACTCAGTGAATCAACCAAGAACCTATCGTCAGACAAATATGCAGAAATAAATGGAGATGGAATGAATATACGCTGAGGAGACTTTTGAGCAAAAATCATGCGCCAGACTATTGCTCAAGTGAAACCAGTGAAACTGGGAAATGCCCAGTTAGGCGTCAGAGATTGACACCAAAGAAGGTCGTGTGAGGAGAAGGTGAAAGTTTACGTGCAGCCGGATGAAAAAAGACTTCAGAGAAAAGAGTCAAATGGCGGTATACTGTTGAAGACCTATGTTCCACTCAGAACCTAAGGGAATAGCAACGACAATAATAGTAATAATATTTACTTCATAGCCCAAGAAAAGTCTAATGGTAATAAAGCTCTTTATTACATATTCAGCAGGCAATGATAATATATCTTGCAGAGGAGTATTCAGTCGCTATTCGATAAACTGCATATTTATTCAGTTAGCTGATGTCTGAGTGAGATTATATATATATATCAAAATGCAGAGATACTAAAGGGAAATTAAGAAACCAAACAAAGTATAAAACACGGGTATGTTTTCATTAGCTGCTTGCTAATTTCGACAGCAACAAAATAATATTTATTTATATTGCAGTATCATGTGTTATCATGTGGGTTAGTTAGCATGAAATCTGATGACAAGTTATGTTTATTTAGTTACAATAACAGAGAAGTAATTCGAGTTAAAATAACATATACATATATGCGCTTACTAGTTTTGCCCTGTTACTTACAATTTCATTCTACAGACGATAAGTTGAAAGGAAAATAAAGTCTATTATTATTATTATTAATTATTGTTATGATAAAACATGAACACAGAAAGTAGTGATATTAGTAAAAAAAGAAAGCAAAATTATTAATCTTGTAGCTACTGTTTTGA